CAGCCGGTGTGGGGACAGCTCAGGGTGGGCACAGCGCGGGTGCACTGCAGCTCTGTAGCCCTGTGCAGGACCCCCAAGATGGGGGGACCCTGGAAAGCGCCCCAGGTGTCTCCTTATGGTGGGGGTCCCAGGCCAGACTGGCAATGCCATCTGCTCTGCCCAGCTCCTCCCACGGTGCTTGGCTGGGCCGGGGGCCGCCCAGCATGGGGGGAGGCAAGTCCCGAAGGGGACCCCCGAGCCCCCGCAGTCCCACAGCAGCGGACGGAGCTGAGGGAGGTGGAATGTTTTGGGTGCAGCTCTGGGAGGGGCCGTTCCGCTTGCGTGGAGCCGGCCGGGAGCCCTGATAAGAACCCAGCTGGTTTCTCTGTCCCCCCCTGCTCCCCTCCTGTGCCGGCCGCCAGCGCTCCCCGGTGAGGGGGTCCCCTCCGAGCCGGGACCTCGTCCCCCCCAAACATGGTAAGAGGTGTGGACAGATGGTTTTCATTATCCAGGTCTTTGGGGGCAATAAAAGAGCAAGAGTGAATCACAGCAGGGGAATTAAGGGGTAAACTGAGGCGAGTACAGCTCCAGGCAGAGAGGCTGAGGCAGCGGGGCTGGGCACAGGGCTGGGCAGCAGTTCCAGCGGTGAGGCATCGCCTGGGGCTGGCCAGGATGTCCCAGCTAATGAGACACACGTGCTCCTGCCCCAGGAAAGGTTTAAAAAGCTCCTGGCTGGGGCCCAGCCCCGCTTGCTTTGTGGGAGGATGGTGCATCCCGGGAGGGCTGGAGGTGAGTGGGGGAAGCTCGGTCACCAGAATTACTGCGGGAAGGAGGCACGCACAGAATGCTCTCATCCTGGAGATGAGCCAGGATGCTCCGGATGCAGGGAACACTTGCCTCCACCTGGGTGAGCCTCATCCTGAGCTGTGCTTGCCAGTACCGTGGCCCCCAGGCTCTGGGCCACCCTTGCTGTCGCCGTGGCCTTGCTCCAGTTTTGCTGCATACCCCCAGGAGGCCGTGAGTGGAGCCCAGTGGTGACACACCCTGACCTGCTGGGGCTCACAGGGGCCCAGCCAGCAGTAGTGACAGGTGACAGCAAAGCTGTGGCTAAGCCTCGGTAAATAGCGGTGCAAGACGTGGTGCTGGCTCCAGGCACACCCAGCTTGTCTGTGGGTGACAAGTGTGTCACCAGTTCTGGAGCCAGGGATGGCATCTGCGATGGGGTGGCAGCTCCTGTCTCATGGGGGACCCACCTGTGCTGCCCCTCCCTGTCTGGCACCCGCTGTTCCAGCCGGCTCTGGCCCAGCCAGCACTGGAGGATTGACCCCGAGGCTGGGGCTGTTGGCTCCTGCCCTGTGTGCCAGGGGGGTTAAAGTCCCCTTGTTTTATGAGCCATGAAACCGTTTTTATGACCCCGCTGTTTCTAGAGCTGGGTTATTTGGAGGCTCCTCTCTGTAAATGGCACATGGAAGATATTCCATGCAGGGGTGGCCCAGGTGCCGGCACCGCCTCTCGCTGCCGGTGCTGCCCGGGACTGGAGGTCCCTCCCAGGCCTGTGCACGTGGAGAGGCCCCAGGCTGTCCATGCCCAGATGGATGTGGTGTCATCAGGAGCTTGTCTGAGGTCTTGCTGCCTTTGGTGTGCAGCACTGACTGCCTGTGGCAGGTTTGGCTGTGCTCCCTCAGAACCTGGCCAGCCTGGGGTGGGGTTAGGGTTGGGGTTAGGGTTAGGGTTAGGGTTAGGGTTAGGGTTGGGGTGGGCTTCTGGGCTCTGTGGCAGTTCCTATTGGGAATGGTGCTTTGTGCTCTGGCTGCTCCTGCCCCACACGGGCCAGGCTGGTGGGACAGTTTCTGTCCCACGCTGAGGACAGTGGTACCAGGCTGGGAGAGGGGCTGCATCTCAACCTGCTGCTCTTAATGGCTCCTCTTGCTTGCAGGGCCAGCCAGGTCCAGACCCTTGGCCTCTGCTGAACTGGGACTCTGAGGGTGACCTCGAAGCTGAGCAGTGGCCCCTGTTTGGGACAAGGTTGTCACAGGGGTGACTCTTCCCAGGAGATGGACAGAGTCACCAGGCACCTTGTGTTCCAGCTCCCACAGGCCTCGCACAGGCACGACTCGCTGGCAGACCTGAGGGCCAGCAGCGACGATGATGTGTTTGGCTCCACTCAGCACAGCACCCAGAGGGTGGAAAATGGCTACAGCTGGAAGAGGAGGTCCCAGTCACCCTCGTATTTCCTGGAGGGTGGAAGAGATGTCTGGACCCCGTCCCCAGACAGGGAGTCCAAGCTAGAGGTGGTGAGATCAGGAAGCCTGTACGACCTCCGGGCTTACAAGGGCGAGAGGAAACCCTCGAAGCTCTACGATGACGATGAACAAGACCTGTACAGGGTCCCTCCGCCCAACATCTCACCTGAGAAAGCCAGGGAGCTCGAAGATGAGAGGAAAGAGATCATCCGGAGCCAGGTGATGAGGAAGAGCTCCACCATCGCAGAGAGGTGGAGCTCTGTGGATGAGCTGAGCTCCATCAGCGCCAGTGTGGGCAGCCAAGGTGAAGGCAGGCACACAGGCAGTGTCCCCACCAGCTTTGCCATCTGCTTTGACAAAACTTCCCCAGGTAGGGCTATAACGCCTGTTGACCCTGAGAATATTGACACAGAGCAGATTAACTTCTCAGCGGCTCGGCAGCAGTTCCTGATGCTGGAGAAGACCAACCCAGGCTCATTTTTCAGCCCAGGGCAGCAGGGCATGTCCCCAAGGCCAGAGTCGGTGACAAAAGTCTCCAGGGAAGAGTGGTACAGCCCTGAGATGGCCATGAGGGCTACGAGAGGCTATGGCAGTGGTGGTGCATCAAGCCAGAGCAGGACAGACAAGAGTGTTTACCAGGTTCATGGTGTGTCCTTATACAAGACACCTGAGAAAGAGGAGATCTATGCTCCCAGAAAGGCTCACACAGAAAGGTCACATCCCATCGGGAAGACGTCCATCCTGACCAAAACATGGTCCAGAGAAGACCTGGACTCTGGCTTGGGTGAGATGTATAACGAAGCTGCTGCGGGCTATGCAAGCGATGGAAGCACCTCCAACGAGACCTTCAGTGCAGATCTGAGGGCCAGCAGCAATGGGCTGGGCAAGGAGACGAGGGTCAGCAACGAGACGCCCATCGAGCGGGAGATCCGCATGGCGATGGAAAGGGAGGAGAACCTCTGGAAGGAAAGGGGAATCCAGCGGCTGACGGCCAGCAGTGAGCTGGTGGAGATCCAGACCAAGCCTGTCCTCAACATTCACACGTCTCCCGGCCCAGGCAGGAAAGGGAAGGACAGAGGCCGCGCTTCCCTTTACGTCCAGAGGGAAATTGAACAGGAAACGAAGCGTGAGGAAGATCTAAAGAGGCAGGGCAGGCTGCTGGGGACGTATGACAGGGGGACACAGCAGGAGCTGGAGGAGCGCAGGAGGGTGTTTGAGCAGGAGGAAGCCCCCCCACAGAAGCCCACTCCCCTGAAGCGGGCAGAGGAGAGGAGGAGCTGGGTTAAAGAGTTTGTGGTGGAGCAGCCCTCGAGCCCCAGCTCTGTGGAAGACACCAGGGCTGGGAGAAGTATTCCCAGCTACACAGCGAGCATCGCTCACTTCCAGCTGTCCCAGCCGCGCTTCGCCGCCAGCGAGAGGAGCCGGGAGCAGCCCTTGGTGTCCCAGAACGCTTCCACCAGCACCAGCAAATGGGGGAGTGAGGATTCCTGGGGAGGAAAGCTTCCCGGCTCCACCCCGAGCCCCGCCAGCACTGCTGTCCTGCCCAGAGAGTACTTATCCCTCTCCTTCTGGAAGCCCAAGGTGTCCTTCGTGGAGGACATGGGGACACAGAGCCCGCTGCAGAGGGAGGATGGCCGGGAGGAGCAGTACCGGCTGCGGACATGGAAGCTCCAGACATCAGCACTGATTGAGGAGGAGATCCGGAGTGACTTGCAGAGGGAAGAGGAGCTCCAGGAGCAGCGGCGGCGGCTGATGGACACCTACAGCAATGGTGCTCCCCAGGAGGGCTCCCGCTCTCGGCACAGCTCTGGTAAGGGAGCAGAGGGACAGAGCGGCAGAGAAATTATTTGGTGGGATGGCTGTAAGGACTCCTGTGTGCTGGTAGCAAGTTGTCCTGGGAGAATGTGATATCAGCACACTGGAGTCAGCAGAACTGCTGCTGAGGAAGGATAGGCTCTGCAGGATTCCAGATCTGCTCAGGTCTCCATGAGTTTGTATCACGTTACAGCAGCAAACAGGGCTGGAAAGGCCCAGCTAATGCATATTACCCCTTGTTCCTGCAGTCCCTGGCTGGGGCCCAGGCATGGGGTCCTGGCTATGACCAAACCGGCTGGACCTGCCATGGGGGCAGGTTTGGGGCAGGTGCCTGACACTCCTTGTGGGTCTCCACCCCTGGGAGTGGAACTGAAGTCCTTCACCCCCTGACTCTTTCTCTCAAAGCTGCCTCAGGTGCCGGTGGCAACTACTCAGTGTCTGGGTCTCCTGCCTCCTCTCCTGCCTCACACCAGACGGGGATCCTGGGGCTGATCTCATCCTTCACCCCGCTGAGAGTGACCAGTTCCTCCCAGGGCAGTGCAGAGACCCTCACCCCTGACTCATCGCGTTCCAGCCCCTTCGAGGAGCGGAGGAGGAGGGTGAAGGAGGATGGAAAGGTGAACATGCCCACCCTGCTTGTGCCAAGTGTTTGAGGGGCTTGAGCCTGGGGGAAGACTGCTGGCTCTGGGGCTGGAGGCGGCTGTTCCTGACTCCCACTTGGAGCTCGAGATCCAGCTGCTCAGCTTGGTGGACACCCAGTGGTGGTGGCACCATTAAGGGGCCATGTGAGCCCCCCAGACAGTGCCTGCTGTTCAGAGCTGCCAGCACTGGGTGGGATTGGAGAGGAGCAGCAGCTTCCTTCTGTGGGGGATCCTGGCCTGGACTGCTCTCCCAACTCTCCTGTGCTCCTGCAGGGAGCCAGATCCAGCTGCTTCTGGATATTCCCCTGCCAGGCTGCCATTATCTAATCGTGTTTTCCTCTTTCCACAGTACGCAGGCATCGAACCCGTTGACAAGGTCAACACAGAGGTAAAGCCCTTCACGAATGCTCCTGCTGCCCTGACACCTCCTGCATTCCCCAGCTCCCCTCGCTCCTGGAGATCCTGTGGGATGGACAGGGATGGACGGGATGGTCCTGGCTCCCTTGAGACCACGGGCACCACTTGGGTGGATGCCGAGTCAGGCAGAGCAGATTGGGGAGCTGGCGGGGGGGAGGTTTTGGGGTGGGGGCCTGTTCTGCAAACCAGATCATTATGAAAGTTTTTCATAAAGATCCTGCACGTTCTGGTCTTTGCAGGTGGTGGAAAGCACCCGAGTGTTTCGCCACAAGAGCGCCATGGCCCAGCGCTGGGAGGCCGGACAGTACGTCCGGGATGAGGACTGAGGGACCCCTGGGTCGGGGGCTGGCCCTGTTTGCAATCAGCTGATGTGTGACCTAAATGCTCCATCAGTTCCACCGTCACAACAATCAGAGACGTGAACCCTGCAAATCAATCTGGTTTATTGTTAAACTGATAATCCTTCCATGCAATAGATCTGCTCCTTCCCCCTCTTCCCTGTGGGGTGGAGGAACACTTTTTTTTTCTTAACAGGGAAAAAAAATTGGATCAGTATCTTTTTAATCACTTCTGCCTGGAGCCAGCCAGGTGAAATCACCCAGTAATTCACTTTGCCCCTTGGGAGCTGTGTCTCAGGCTTACAAAAAAGCTGTTTTATTTCTCAGTGGTTTAAGGTTTTTAAGTACCACAAAGCTGAGCATTGCCTTGGGGCTACCTGAAGTGAGGCCTCTGGATCAGTTGACTTGGGAATCAACACTGGTTTAACTCCTGTGATCCATGGAGATGCAGCAATGGAATATAAAAATATATATAAATGCTGTTTATTTTGCTAATTTATTAAAGAGTTGTTCTACTCTCTTGGTCTTCCAAGAGAGTCCGCCTGCTCCACTGGTTTTGCTCTGCTGTTTCAGAGGAACCCCTGCGGTTGGGATGTGGGGCTGGAGCTTTGCAGGGGCTGCGGCTGGGGGGGTCCCAAAGGCTGGGGGAGTACCGGGCTCGCACCGGGCGGGCCTGGGAGCACCGGGGCCGGTGG